ATAGCTGTCACTTGAGACTCCCTCGAAAAGGCATGACCACAAGTGGGGCCCTCGTCAAAATTCAAAGCCCTACAGTGGTCTTTCACCGGGAGGGGGGCGCTTCTTGCAGTGAGAAGAAGGCTGGCATGGACGTACGAAGTGGGGACTTGGGACGGAAGGGTGTCTTGCAGCATCGCTTATGCATATTTGGTTTACTCTAGTCCTCCTTCCCCTCCTCGTGATCCCCAAACCTTCCCACCCCTCCCCTACGCACAACTCCGTTTCACTCCCCTCGCCTCCTCCCCATTCCATCCAGAGGCACCAAGCTACTATCCGCAATCCAGGTAGATTGACGGCATGGCCACTGTTCTACCTTACTCACTTGTCCAGTCGCTCCATGCCCGCTCCTTCTCCTCCGCCTCGTCATCCCTTCAAATATAGTTTTCATCCATCCTTCTTTGTCCATCCCGCGCCAACATGGTATTCACTCTTTTGATGGCCCTTCCTGCCTCCTGCGTCTTACCTCTTCCCTCCGCCTATTGTTGCAACTCTTGTTGTTAATAATATGTGTAGTCTTCAACCCTTCTCCCTCAAACTCCCTCCTCGTTCTCCCTACTCATCCCTCCTCCCTACTCTTTCTTTATTCCGCCTCCTTCTCCATCCTCATTATCCCTCCTCCTGACTTCATCTTCCCTCCTTCTCCCCTTGTCCTCCCTACTCCTTCTCTGCTTTCGCAGAGCCTAAGATACGCACATGTTCGGCCGCTCACGCTCGACACTTCTTGGGGGTCCACCAGGAGCGAACCCTGCTGCACTTCGGAGACGACGAACGTCGCCTCCCTCCTGCGCACTGCTCCTTTTCCTCCTAAGGCCGTCTGCGGCGACGACACAAACGAAAAGCGACCAGACCGACAACGAGACCAAAATCAACTGTGACCGCCAGGCCGCAGGCAGCCTCGAAAGGCTCAGCAACGCGCAGCCACGGCACACGCGGACGACCGATCACCGAACCGACCGCGCGCGCCACCGACCGCGACGCAGCCGAGCCGACCGAACCGCGGCCCTCACCCCTGCTCCCGTTCCCTCCCCTCCTCATCCGACAGCGGAGGATACAATGAGGTCCGGCGGTTCTGGAGAATGTTTCGGGCGCCGCGGCCTTCTCAGAGCGTTCCGGAACGCTCTGAGAGGAATCTGGAACGCTCTGGAACGGATGTATCCTCGTCCTAACGACTAGAGGCCTCCTAGATGGGGTCCGCGTAGATGGGGCCCGAGGATCTCGTAGCATCGCCGATACATCGGCGATGTATCGCCGATGCATCGGCGATGCATCAGCGATGCACTGGCGACGTCGGCGATGCATCGGCGACGTAGACGTGGAGAAAATCGGGCACCACATCGAGCCGCATCACCAATGCATCGGCGATGCGGAGCGATGATTTGACCCCATCTACTCGGACCCCATGTGGGACGCATAAATTATCTTCGTCCTAGGCACGGGGGGAAGGACAGGGAGGAGGAGAAGCAGGAAGGGGAGCTGCAACGCGATCGGGGAGGAGGAGGAGGAGGAGGAGGAGGAGGAGGAGGAGGGTCGCACACAGTGCGCATTGGGTCTACAACAGGGTACGACCCTTTCAGATGAATAGACTTTGCAAGCCTGTATCTTCAGACTTACTCTGCGCTGCGGCGTTTTTGTTCTGACAGGCCAGCCTTCAGGCCAGCCTAAAACTACCCTTTCCGAGTCAGGTTCCGCCTACCTCCTTCATTCCTCCGCCCTCTACTCCCACAACCTAAGTGTGGGGTACGCCAACAAAACCCTGGGCCGCAGCCCAAGCATTGCTAGTCTATGTACATCAATTTACAAGATAAGCCCCCACTGAGCGGGCTGATGTGCCATAGGCTGATTTTTTGGAGCCACACCACACACGTGAGCAATCCGCCCACGTGTAAGAAAATCTAGCACAAACTGCCTACTAACCTGCAGCTACTACCAGCCGCACATGCCCGACTACTTTTTTGGCCTCACAGCGGACAGTGGATCCTCACTCCACTCGCTCCTGTCCACTGATGCGACGTCCACCATTTCTGACCTCCGGCGTGCTGTCCGACACGGTGGTGGCCCCCCACTCTCAGGAACAGGTTTCGGGCACGCCTTCAAAACCCTGGGTCGCAGCCCTAGCATTGGAAGCCACCTTTTGTCGAATACAGTTCGCACTTGGGTCCCCTACAGGGTACGACCCAATCAGATAACTAGTCTTACAGGCCTGTATATTCAGGCTCTACGCTGCGCAGCCGCGTCCACTTCTGCTCGACAGGCAAGCCTTCCAGGCCAGCCTGTAATCTCTTCCGTGTCGCTCTCCCACTCGCACTCCTACCCCTCACTCCAGACCTACGCACGGTGAAGGCGGCCCCTCCACCTAGGAACCGAAGGACGGGCATACACCTGGCTAAAAGAGCGGGCCTACTGCTGGCAAGAGGGAACAACACACAAATCTTACTATGACCAGTCCTGGACCTAGTTTGTTACAACACGGGCAGCACCCCCAGAACTGCAAGAAAAAGGGATGGGTTGGGGCATGAATTGGGGGGGATAAGCACTACGGTTTGGGGCACTCCAAAACCCTGGGCAGCAACCCTAGAACTGCTCACAGTGCCGTTTGTTTCTTACGCATGGCGATCGTTGCACTTGCCTTGAAAAATTTGCATACAGAGACGGCACGACCAACGAACCTACCTCTTTACTCTGTTACCTCGGTTGCTTAATCCAGGTCCGTGCCGTCATTCAGTATTTGTCCAGCTGCGACGACCTCACCCTCGATCTAAGGTTGTTACCATACTTGTTTTCATGTGTAATTGTTGTTGTTATCCAACTAAGGTGAGCGTTGTCACAACTGGCGGGCGCCTACTCTCACCAGTAGTCTCGCCCAGCGCTCGCTCTCTTACTTTTTTCCGCGGCGCCCGCCAGGTGTTTTTTTGACCCGAGCCGTTTTTTCCGCCACCACTAACGCCAAAGCTTCACGCCGGGGTTGGTCGAACGTAAAAAGAGGAGGAGGAGGAGGAGGAGGAGGAGGAGGAGGAGGGGGAGCCGCAGCATGATCGGGAAGGAGGAGGAGGAGGAGGAGGGGAAGGCCGACCACCGCCACCACGACGGCAAAAGGTGGTGACGCGGTGCGGCTCCGGGTCAGCCCTGCACGTGCGGTAAAAGATGCCGTCCATCAGCACGAGTCCTCGACGGGAGGAGGGCGGTGGGAGGGGGACAGCCTCGGCCTCCACGGTGCGGGCGTGCGGCCAGCTGGGATCCGGATCTGATCAGATCCCAGGTCCAGCTGAGAAGTGGGAGCCAGAACAGAATCCAATGAGGTCAATTAGAATTCAGATCGGATCTGGATCGGGATCTGATCTCATAAGATCAGATCCCAGATCCAGATCAGATCCCAGATCCCATCTGGATTAACACGCCACTCCCTGCGGGAGTGGCGTGAGAAGTGGTAGCCAGGACAGAAAGGCTCGAATAGGGGATCGACTACAGAATTGATTTACTCCAAAACTGGCTCTCCCGCCAAATGCTCGTAGATCTACGGGACAGTGTACATAGTTGTTCGTAGATTCGACGTCAAAACCAATTTTGGGGTACATCAATTCTGTATTCGATCCCCTGCTCGAAGGCTGGGAGTTCGATAACTTGGCCAGGAGAGGGGCACACGAGCAGGGGGGCCGGCGCAACAAAGAAGGTCCGGTGCAACAGCTAGGGCAGGACACCAAGCCGCCCAGCCACACGACTGACCAACAGACCACCTGACCACCGAGCACCCCTTGAGCATGCTGTCGGGGGCTCCGGCGGGCGCAGCGCGTGAGGAGGAGGATACCTGGAGGAGGGAGGGTAGGGGAAGGATTATATGGCACTCTACGGAGGGAGACCACTGTCCGATCTCTGCTCAAACCTTTCTGTCCTGGCCTCGAATCTCAACGTGCTCATCAGAGCCTGACCTAAACCCGGGTTCGCTCTGGTACGGCCCGGCCCAGCAGATACGGCGGCACTCGAACGCCGCAGAGACTCGACTCAACACCTGCGAAGGTGAGGGGACGGAGGAAGAAGAAGAGAAAGGAAAGGAGACGGAGAAGAGGAGCCGCTTGCCCCGCTCACTGAACCGCTGAGACGGCACGGTAGCCACAAGACCTCTGGCCAGATCAGACCACCGGCTCACCCGATCGCCAGACAACCCGCCCGCCAGACCATCGGCCCGCCTTGCCACAGGAACTCCAAACAGACAGGCAACAAGGCCGTCGGAGCACCGAATCGGTGAGCCACCAGATCCCCGCGGTCACGGTCCAAGAACGCACAGCTAGAAGAAGAGAAACTACACAAGCACATACTTTCGAGGGTCTACACAGGCTTCTTGGATCGGCTCCAGAGGCGCCACCAGATGGGTCCAGCGCCGACCCAAGAAATCCGCACGGACCTCCAGCAATTTCTCTATGTTCATGGTGCGTTCCCTGGCGTCGGGATGGGGACGGCAGTAGGACGCGGACACACACCCCAGAGCGCGCAGGAGGTCGCAGGCTGCACCCCACAGCACGCACCCCAGGGCTCAGGCTGCACCCCATCTATGACCTCGGGCCTCGGCTGGCTTGCAATCGTGAGGGCCTCAGAATGTTGCGCGTGCCGCTCGTGCACTCCTGCAAGCGCTGGGCACGCGAAAATTGGGAGATCATGGAGGGACGGAGAGAGAGGAGAAGCATGGGCCATGATGCCTGGGAGACCTGATCCTGGCCCCGCCCAGGATGTCCACATGTTCCTCAGCCCTCACCCCCCCCCCCAATTGGACGCCCCCAACGGATGCAGGGCCCATGGCGGACCTGGCCAGGAGGGAGAGAGGAACAGCAGGAAGGAAAGAATGAAGGAGAGAAGGAAGGAAGGAAGGAAGGAAGGAAGGAAGGAAGGAAGGAAGGAAGGAAGGAAGGGAGGAGGAAGGAAGCACGGAGGAGGGAGGCGGGGCCTGCCACCAAAAGAAGGTACAGAGGAGGGAGTCCAGTGATTGCAATGATGACGAACAGAAACGCCATCATCACGGCCACGTCACCTTCCCGCTGGCAGCTTCCGCAGGCGACGCATTGGAAGTCCCTACCATCGCCGTCGTGGTCCACGTCGTCGCCGTCCTCCTCGTCGTCGTCATCGTCGTCATCGCCATCATCTTCGTCGCCCGTCGTGACTACCACAGCGACTGAAGCCTGTGTACACATTAGGACATGACATTCCGAGGCACAGTGGCGTGCTAGGCCGCAAGTGTGAATGATCCGTCTCGTGAGGGCATCCGTGGAAGGTGTCAAAACCCTTAAAAAGCCCTTAGAAGCATCGCATGCCACTCAAAAACACGACGGGCGATATGTTGGACAAGCTTGTACGGGAGTGTGCCCCATGGCGCGTTAGGCGTGGTAGAATGCCAAGTGCGGTATGGTCTGGTAGGTTTCTGTAATCCTACAAGCCCTTTAGGGCGCGAGTGTTTCAGCGCGCTTCCTCTTCCAGCCCCCGTCTTTCCCTTCGGGGAAAGGCTTATCATTGTTACAAACGCCCCTTCCCCCACCCGACCGGCGACAAGCCCAGGACACTGCCAAACCCCCCCCCGCCATCCCTTGCAAAAAAAGCATCAAATGCATATTGCACCAAAATCTGGATCATGCGCTGGCGCCCCGCGACCACTTTGCATTGGTTTTTGATGAGGACGGCGGGGGGGCGGCACGTTGCCTGCTGTGGAATGCCAAACCCCCCCCACCATCCATTCAAAAAACCCAAAATACATGATGCATTCAAGTCAGATCATGCGCGGGCGCCCCGCGATCAATTTGCATCAGTTTTTGAAAAGACGTCGGGGAGGCCAGCATAGTGCCTGCAGCGCGCAGGCCCACGATCTCTTTCAAGAACAAATGAAAAATCACTGCGGGTGCACACACACACACACACAATACACACTGCTGGTAACCCAGCCGCCACTGTGCATACGCCTTTGACGAAGACGATGGGGAACGACAGATTGACAAATGTGGCGCACCTGGAGCGCGTGGCGCACCTCGCATGTGCGGCGAACATCGCAGGCGTCGCGCACCTGGCTGGCGTCTGCATTTGTTCCCGACGGTTGTCGATGGCTGCTGCCCATGTTGAGATTCGCATGCTACTTATGTTGTGGGAGGGCGGGCGGGAGCGAGCGATTGAAAAACGACCCCTCCCCCACACGATGAGCAGCCATCCCGAACCCCTGCCAACTCCCCCAAACTTCCGTTTCAAATTGCAAAACGAAACAACTTGTGCCTCTTTATCTGGAGCATGCGCGGGCGCCCCGCAACCAATTTGCACTGGTTCTTGACAGGGACGGCGAGGACTCTCTTATATTGCCTGCTGCGCGCAAGTCCGCCATCCATGTCACAGAAAAATACAAAATACACTTCGCCTCCGAACATGGAGCATGTGCGGGCGCCCCGCGACCACTTTGCATTGGTGTTTGAAAAGAGGGGGGGGGGCCTCACATTGCTCGCTGCACGCGGGCCAACCATCCCTTTTCAAAAGATCAGCCAGGCGAAGAAACCAACCATATGCAGTTGTGAATACCGCAATTGTGGGTATCGTCTTCCGTGGAACTACTGGGCGGGGGAACCGCATGCGAACTGGGCCACTGGCACCTTCGGTGGGGTTCCCTATGGGGCCACCAAACGTTGTACTGGGTGGGGGGACGCATGCGAATTCTGCCACTGTGACCTTCGGCGGAGCTCCCCCGGGGCCACGAAACGGTGTCCTGGGCGGGGGGGACGCATGCGAACTGCGCCACCGGGACCTTCGGTGAGGCCCCCTCCGGACCATGAAACGCTGCATTGAGCGGGAGGGACGCATGCGAACTGCGCCACTGGGACACCCGGTGGAGCTCCCTATGGGGCCACGAAACGCTGTACTGGTTGGGGGGACGCATGCGAACTGCACCACTGAGACCTTCGGTGGAGTTCCTTCTGGGGCCACGAAACGCTGTACTGGGTGGGGGGGACGCATGCGGACTGCGCCACTGGGTCCTTTGGTGGAGCTCCGGCTGGGGCCACGAAGCGCTGTCCTGGGCGGGGGAACCGCATGCCAACTGCGCTACTGGGACCTTCGGTGGGATTCTCTCATGCAAATTGCACCACTTGGACCTTCGGTGGAACTCCCTCTGGGGCCACGAAGCGCTGTACTGGGTGGAGAACGCATGCGAACTGCGCCACTGGAGCCTTCGGTGGAGCTCCGTCTGGAGCCACGAAACGCCGTATCGCGTGGGGGGGGGGGGCATGCAGACTGCGCCACTGGGACCTTCGGTGGAGCTCCCTCAGAGGCCACGAAGCGTTGTACTGGGTGGGGGGATGCATGCGAACTGCGCCACTGGGACCATTGGTGGAGCTCCCGCTGGGGCCACGAAACGCTGTCCTGAGCGGGGGGAGGCACGCGGACTGCGCCAGTGGGACCTTCGGTGAAGCTCCGCCTGGGGCCACGAAGCGCTGTACTAGGTGGGGGGGGCGCGTGCGAACTGCGCCACTGGGACCTTCGTTGGAACTCCCTCTGGACCCACGAAACGCTGTCCTGGGGGAGCCGCATGCGGACTGCGCCAGTGGGATCTTCGGTGGAACTCCCTCTGTGGCCACGAAGCGCTGTTTTGGGTGGGGGGACGCATGCGGACTGCGCCATTGCTGCGACCTTCGGTGGAGTTCCCTCTGGGGCCATGAAACGCTGCATTGGGGGGGGGGGCATGCGGACTACAGCATTGGGACCTTCAGTGGAGCTCCCTCTGGGGCCACGAAACGCTGTGCGGGGGGGGGACGCACGCGGACTGCGCCACTGGGACCTTCGGTGGAATGCCCTCTGGGACCACGAAGCGCTGTGCTGGGTGGGGGGGGACGCACGCGGAATGCGCCACTGGGACCTTTAGTGGAACGAAACGCTGCACTGGGCGGGAGAGACGCACGCGAACTGCGGAGGGAGGAGTGGGGAGGACGGGAAGAGGAGAGGAGAGGAGAGGAGAGGAAAGGAGACGAGAGGAGAGGAGAGGAGAGGAGAGGAGAGGGGGAGGAGAGGAGAGGAGGGAGAGGAGAGGAGAGGAGGAGAGGAGAGGAGAGGAGAGAGAGGGAGAGGAGAGGAGAGGAGAGGAGAGGAGAGGAGAGGAGAGAGGAGAGGAGAGGAGAGGAGAGGAGCGGAGAGGAGAGGAGGGAGAGGAGAGGGAGGGGAGGGGAGAGGAGAGGAGAGGGGAGGGGAGGGGGGAGAGGGAGGGGGGGGAGGAGAGGAGAGGGGAGGGGAGGGGCGGAGAGAGAGGAGGATACAGGAGAGGGGGATGGGAGGGGCGGGGGAGAGGAGAGGGTGAGGAGAGGAGAGGGGAGGAGAGGAGAGGGGAGGAGAGGAGAGGAGAGAGGAGAGGAAAGAGGGAGAGGAGAGGAGAGGAGAGTGAGGAGGGGGAGGGGAGGGAGGGGAGGGAGGGGGAGGGAGGGGAGGGACGGAGAGGAGAGGTGGGGAGAGGAGAGGAGAGGTGAGAGGAGAGGAGAGGAGAGGAGAGGAGAGGAGAGGAGAGGAGAGGAGAGGAGAGGAGGGGAGGGCAGGGAGGGAGGGGTGGGGGGGGAGGGGAGGGTGAGGGGAGGGGAGGGGAGGGGAGAGGAAGGAGAGGGAGGAGAGGAGAGGCGGAGAGAGAGGAGAGGAGAGGAGAGGGAGGGAGAGAGAGAGAGGGAGGAGGGGAGGGGGGGGGGGGAGGGGGAGGGGAGGGGAGGGGAGGGGTGAGGAGGGAGGGGAGAGGAGAGGACGAGGAGAGGTGATCGAGAGGAGAGAACGCGGGGGAGTTGTCTCTTCAAAACGAGGACCCAACACCAAAAGATAGTTGGGGAATACAACTTGCCCCCGCAATGTGACCCCATATGATTAATATATGTTGGTTGCCCTTCGTTCTTCCCGTCGCCATGCCGAAGCCCCCCCGTCTCGCCCTCTGCCGCGCCTCGTCATCATCCATATTGTCGTCCTCGTCCTCCGTCTCCTCCTCCTGCTCGCCCTTTTGGGTCAATACCTCCTCTCCCTGTTCGCCCTTTTCTTCCTCCTCCTGCTCCCCCTCTTCCTCCTCCTCCACCTCCTCCTCATCCTTTTCCTTTCCCCCCGCCCCCCCTTCTCATCTTCACCCCGCCTGCTATCCGTATGCGCCAGTCCTGTCTGCATGCTGATGTTCCTCGGCGCCCTCGCCGCCGTGCGTGGCATGGGCGCGTTCTCCGATGGCAAAATCGCGATTCCGTCGGGGCAGCGGCCGTTGGGACAACCCCGCGAGCCGCAGGGGCGCGAGAGCAAGCCGTTGGGACAAACCCCAAAGGCACCGAGTTAGTCGCGGCGCGCTCAGGAGGGAGGCAGCACGATGTCCAGCGCTGCCGCGAGCTGCTCCGCCTCAGCCCTGGAGCCCACCGCTCTCTCGCCGAAGTCCTCTAGCGACCTGTGACTAGGACGGGGGCTCCCGCATGAGACCCCCTTGCAACTCATTCACAGACGCGCGAGGATCGCCTCGTGATGTGCCCCTTTGGGGTGCTCAAGTGCTTTGACTGGTAAGAGTTTGCCGATGACCCGCTCGGATTGCCAATGAGGTGCGGGTCCCATCAATTAGGGAGGCCCCCGCCTGACGTCCTCGCTATCCACTCATATTCCTCCATATTCAGCCCGGAGGAACCGAAAAGTGACGACAACTACCAGATCCCGATGACCCGCTCGGATTACCAACATGAAATGCGGACCCCATTGGGAGGGGGGCTCCCGCCTGAGACTTCCTCGCAATACACTCACAGACGCCCCGCTCCTTGGCACGAAGTGCCCAGCTTTTTCACTTGATTTTCACCCCCGCCCCCGCGCATTCCACCACCTCCACTTCTCCAGCACGCCGCGCAGGGCCCAAATGATGCGGGGAGATGTTCCTGTTTCTTCCGGCTCCCAAGTCGCCGAAGCAGACAAAGCCGATGCGGCTTCCAATCGCGGCCGCTTTGCGCGGGGCGAGATACGCACGCGCGCTGTCGCCGCGCCCTGCGGCAGATACGCAGCCCGCGGATGCCCCTACAGGGGGCACCGCTGCTTAGAGCCAATTTGCACGGGCATGGAAATTATCCGCCGACCCCTTGGGGTTCATCGGCGTGTGAGATCTTCCCCCTCCCCAAACCCCTCCCCCAGGAGCCCGGTCCGGTCGAACTGGAGGGGGGGGGGTCCGGCCGGTTCCCCCGGGGGGGTCATCCGCTCCCGAAAATCCTGCAAGGACTCCTCCGGTGGCCTCGAAATGGCCCCAGGACGGCCCACGAGGGCCCCGGGACGCTAAACGAGCGCTTCAAGACGCCCAAGATGGCCCCAAGACAGGCCAAGAGGCCTCCAAGACGACCCCAGAGGTCCCAAACAAGCCTCCCAAGAGGGCCCCGAGAGGCTAAAATTGTTGATGTTCCATTGTGTTTTTCTGTGTTATTTGCCTTTTCGCCTTTTCGGCTTCCCGACGTTCCAAGACGGCCCAAGAGGCCCCGAAGACAGCCCCAAGACGGCCCAAGAGGCCCCCGAGACGGCCCCAAGACGGCCCAAGATAGCTCCAAGACGGCCAAAGAGGTCCCCAAGACGGCCCAAGAGGGCTCCAAGACGGCACCACGAGGGGCCCCAGAGGGCGACCAAAAATTCAAAACATCTAGCTTTCCGCCCCCAGGAGCCCCAGGGGGCCCCAAGAGTGCCCCAAGAGGCCGCCAGAGGCTCCCAAGAGGCCCCCAAGACGCCCCAAGGAGCCCCCAAGAGGCGCCCAGGAGGCCCCAAAAAGACCCCCAGAAGCTCCGAAACGGCTCCCAAGTGGCTTCAAAACTGCCTTCCAGAGGCCCCCGAGAGGCGTGGCGCGAGATCCCGATACACATGCAAGAAGCCTCCAACCCAGAACAATTACCCAGAGCCTCCTCTCTGTGTCCCCCTCCTCCTCCTCCCCCTCCTCCTCCTTCACCTCGGCCCCCAAGTGGTTTCAAAACTGCCTTCCAGAGGCCCCCGAGAGGCGTGCCGCGAGATCCCGATACACATACAAGAAGCCTCTAACCCATAACCCATAGCCCAGAGCCTCCTCTCTGCGTCCCCCTCGTCCTCCTCCTCTCCTCCTCCTCCTCCCCCTCCTCCTCCTCCACCTCCTCCTCACCCCCCTCCTCCTTCTCACCCCTCCACCTCGTCCTCATCCTCTTCGATTATTGTCCCCCCCATCCTCCACCTCACCCCCCATGCTTCTCTCCCCGTCCTCCTTTTCCTTCCCAGCACGCGCGCTCGATTGGTCATCATTTGCATGTCTTGCACTTCAGGGTGCCCTTCTTTTCGTCGCGCGCGACATTGGTAGGGTTCACGGAGAACGCCGACTTCGGTAGTCTTCTCTTGCACGGGCCGCTACACTGATACGCAGGAGTCCCAAGGGGTCGGCGGTGCGGCGTAAGCCAAAGAATCTGAACGATCGTGGACATGCCTGCCTGCAGCGTGGCCGTTTCATATTCCCCCGAGCGCCTTGTTCGGGCGCCTCCATATATAGCGCCCGCCCTCGGCTGGCGCTCCTGGCTGCTGCCAGATTCGGGCCGCGTGTGCTCCTCTGAGCACGGACGGGTTCACTTCATATCTGTCAGTTGCCCGACTTGGGTAGAGAAGGTGTTGCACCCCCCTGGTGGTTTTCCCTGCAGCCTGCGTTTGCTCACCGAGGCAGCGCACCCTGCCGGCCTCGCGCTGAGTCCTCACGCATGAGTTCCAGGTTCGCCTCCAGCCGCCTCGCATATCATCAGCATCATCAGCATCATCAGCATCATCACCATCATCAGCAGCAGCATCATCAGCATCATCAGCATCATCATTATATCAGCTGGTTATCATCCTCATCATCCCCATCATCATCATCATCATCATCATCATCATCATCATCATCATCATCATCATCATCATCATCAGCATCATCATCATCAACAGCATCATCATCATCAGCATCATCATCATCAGCATCACCACCACCACCACCACCATCATCATCATCATCATCATCATCATCAGCATCAGCATCATCATCATCAGTATCATCATCATCAGCATCATCATCAGCATCAGCATCATCATCATCATCAGCAGCAGCAGCATCATAATCGTCATCATCATCAGCAGCAGCATCAGCATCATCATCGTCATCACCATAATATTCTTATTATCCAGAATAGTATTATGAATATTATTATTGTTATTATGATTAGTCTTATTATTCATAGTATTCTTACGTATTGGTACTACTCTTCTTCTTCATCATCATCATCTCATCATCGGCGGCAGCAGCATCAGCGTCAGCATCAGCAACATAATCAGCATCAGCATCATCATCATCGTCATCGCCATCATCATCAACATCATCAGCATCAGCATCAGCATAACCATCAGCATCATCATCATGATCACCATCACCATCACCACCACCACCACCACCACAACCACCATCATCATCATCATCAGCATCATCATCATCAGCATCAGCATCAGCATCAGCATCATCATCATCAGCATCATCATCAGCATCATCATCATCATCCTTCGCCTCCTCCTGGCTCGCCTCCTCCTCCTCCTACTCCTACTCCTCATACTGGACCTTATGGACAAAGGCGGCCCGACACCCAGCAATGACCCCATGGGTGGGACCCTACGGGCTGACTCTTCGGCGGAATCTCTGTAAGCGGGGCCCTCTGGCCAGCCACAGCCGGGACCCGCCGATCAGACCCAGGTCTTCACGGGATATCGTGCTCTTCCTCCCTCTGCCTGCCTTTTTTCGCTGGTGACACAACCCCAACCCTGCCCCGAAGCGTCGCCCAGACGAGGAATCGACGAGAGCACCGTGTTCACGAGCATCTGCGCGTGGGGGCTTTCGCACGGGGGTGGAAACTGGGATGGGGAAGGAGAAGACCGCGGAGGTTGAACCGAAGGCAAGGTGGACACTGAGGCAGATACAAAAATGAATGGTGACGAGCGGGCAGAGATGAAAAGATGTACATACATGGCATCGAGGCGGATACTGATATTCCCCTATCGCTGAAGACAAAGACAGGGGTAGAGGTATTGACACAAGTTTAAATTACTGGAATATTTCCGCCACTGCGCTTGCAGCGAATGGTGTGTGTCCGCAGCGACTCGCCCTCGCCTCTCAATCGCAATGCCATCTACAGCTTCGACGGCATCAAATGGTTTCACACACAGACGATCGCTTCGCGCCAAACGACGGTCACAGTGCTAACGATGACGAGCGCCAGCGTATTGTAGTCATCACGCAATATCATGGTTGGACCTGGTCGGCGAATCGACCCTGCTGGAATGCGACCCGCGTACGGGCATTCCGCCACAGTGACGCATAGCCCGCGGCAAATTGCGCACGGGGCCTCCACGCCGGCCCCCGACCTGCCGCTCGACACGTGCATGCGCGCATTACGGTCCCAACACTCGGCGTGGCATTGGCTACCGCATTGCAAACGCCACATCTTGTCACGCGACACCAAAGCGTCAAGACATACTGCGCACAGCGTGAAAGAAGTGTCTGAAGCGACAGGCGTGTCTGCGTTGGAGCGCGCCCGCCGTTGGCGCTGCAGCGCGGTCTCGGACGGCCCATTCGGCGATGGTGGAGGCCCATCTCCAATAGCCGACCTTGGAGTGGACCTCGTCGTTGGACCCTGGCCGAGCTGGGCTTTGTTGATAATTTGCTGCCTGTGTCTGGCTGCCCAGCCCCTCGCAGCCCCCCCCGCGCCCTCCGTCGCACGCGCGCTGGCCTGCATCATCTGATAGATGTCATGCGAGTACGAAGGCGGGAGACTCATGGGTGCGTTGATCTCAAGGGCAGGCTGCTGCACCTCAGCATCAGGATCAGCTGGGGGAGGCCAGTAGGCCATGCGAGGGAACGGTTCTGCGCTCGGCACGCGCACCGCCTGGAGACGATAGAAGTCATCTGCCATGTTCCTCGCCGCCGAATTCTGGAACAACTGGCCGATCATGGGCGCGTCGTTGGCCCCTGCGAAATACTCGGGGAAGAATGGCTGATCCATTGGCGGCGCTGCCGGCGCGTGGAACAGAACTGTCAGTTACGTCCACGCCCAGCAGGCGCATCTCAGCAATTGCTGTCTGATGCTGCTGCCGCATGGACCTCTGCTGATCAGGAGCCGACTGCCTGCGCCCAGGCTGCTGCTGCGATAACGCCGCGATTGGAGAATTCAGGGGACTGCCAACGGCTCGGCTTTGATGTCGCGGGGTACTGAATGGCGTTGTGGCACTCGCAGCGGCGGCCAAGTCCGGCTGCTGACGCATCGAGGCCAATCGCTGCATCAAGTCTTCCTGGCTCGCCCCCCTGACCACATGACATCGGTTCGAACCTCGTAGGGCCAGCGTGTAATTGGGGCCTTGGTGGTCCAAAGCCCGTAGGTGGCCCCACTGGCATGCCTCCTCGGGTTGTCGCCCAAGGGTCGTGCCTCGTGGATATGTCGGATAGCGTGGAAACGTCGCGTGACGGTTGAAGCGGAGGTACCATGCACGACGACGACGACCCGGTGTCCGTTGGCAGGACAGCCGGTGGCACAGCGTTCGCGGGAATTGTGATCCCAGCAAGTGCCCAAACATCCACCAGGAGTTTCGCTGCCGAGAGGCCCGTCAAGCGTCTGAGTACCGAAAGCGTACTGCTTGACTGGCGTGAGCCACTTCCGCGAAAGATCACTGAACTTCAACTGGATCTCGGGCTCGTCCAACGAGCGGACGCACTGGGGGTTCTGCCACACGCTGATGTTGTTCCCAACCATCCTGTGGTGTTGGGTCCTCGTTTTGAAGAGACGGTCCCCGCGTTCCTCCTCTCCTCCTCCTCCCCCTCCCTCCTCCCCCTCCTCCCTCCTCCCTGCGTCTCACCCACCCAGTACAGCGCTTCGTGGCCCCTTAAGGGGCTGCACCGAAGGTCCCAGGGGCACCGCCCGCATGCGTCCGCCACCACCCAGCACAGCCATTTGCCCCCTGCGTTCCACCCACCCAGCACACCGCTTCGTGGCCCCATAGGGGGCTCCACCGAAGGCCCGAGTGGCACCGCCCGCATGCGTCGTGCTTAAGAGGAACATGATGTAGGTGGCGCCGTCAATATGGCGGCCACCTATGTTGACGCCAAAGTTGATAACGGACTCTCATGGCTATGGATGGTCCGTGCGAGACCGCTGGCAGCCTGCTGGGAGGGCGTCATATTGCCTGTGGTCACGTTGATCCAGGCATGTACTTCGCGGGCGAATTCGCGAAAAGGCACTTGACCGGCTGGGTCCCAATGAAGGCCCGTCGTTTTTGTATCGTCTCCGCCACGCATATGTCCTACCGCACACCCGATAGCGACCCATGCGAGCCCAATGAGAATAACACCAATCCAGTGACCTCGTAGGTCGTGATCGGATGTAGCCGGTCGGGACTTCCGTTGTGTAGTCGTAAGTCTGCGTGGGGTTGGAGGCGGCAATATGTCGTAGCGCATGTTTCCATGCATTATATCTTCGAAGAAGTTTCGAATTGGAGTAGGTGGGTGGACTTCAGGAGTGTAGAAGCGCAAGGATGTAGGATGTAAGTAGAAGACCCCGCCTGAGCAGAGGTATCGCTGCAAGTGTCTTTGCGATAATGCGTAGCTATATACATTCCTCCGCGCAAACCCACTGCACCCTGATTTTCCACCATATCCGCAGTCCAGCAGATAGTGCCGTGGATGGTGAGGAGTACAGCTAGAGCTGACCACCGTAGGCCAGCTCCGCTACCAAGTCTAAAGGGGGATGGGAGGCCCAGCCAGCAGCTTCGCCTTAGGCGAAGCGAAGCTCCAGCTCTGTTGTACCGTAGTAACGATAGTCCCAGTAGGAGAGGATGTGCCATCTTAAGCAATAGGAAGAAGATCCTTTTGGTCTCGATAGCGATTGTGTGCCTCGCGATGAGGCACAATCATATTTGGGCGGCCGGCCGCTTGAGCCGACGCGGCCGCGGGCGCACGCTCCTTTTCGCTCCTTGCGTCCCTCAGCTCGCTTTAGAGTGCTTCGCCTTACGCGAAGCCCAGCTCCAGCTCTGTTGTACCATAGTAACGATAGTCCAAGTAATAGGAGATCGGCGCGGGAGCGACGAGCCATCTCAAGCAAGGATGTTTTGGTCTCGATGGCTAATGATACACCTCGCGCTGAGGTGTAGTCAGATCTGGGCGGCCGGCCGCTTGAGTACAAACGGCTGCGGACACACGCTCGTTACCTCTCGCCTGTATCCCCAGCTCACTGTAGAGTCCAAGATGGCCACGTTGGCCCAAGATGGCCTCCAAGATGATCCGAGATGGCCTCCAAGTCCGCCGAAAAGAAGAGGAGATGCCTCCAAGTCCGCCCGAGAAACCTCCAAGACGGCCCAAGACAGCCCAAGTGGTGCCCAAGAGGCCTCCAAGATAGCCCAAGAAGCCTCCAAGAGGTTCTCCAGGAGGGCCCGAAGAGGCCAAAATCCTTGATGTTCCAAAGGAAGGTTTTTCGTATTTGCTCCTTTTCGGCGTTCTGACGACCCAGGACGGCCCAAGAGGCCCCAAAGATCGCCCCCACAGCGCCCAAGAGGCCTCCAAGATGGCCTCAGGACTGCCCAATAGGCCCCCAAGACGGCCCCAAGAGGGCACAAAGACGACTCTAAGACGGCCCTAGAGCACCACAAGAGGGTCCCCAGTCGGCCCAGAGAGGCCCCCGAAACGGCTTCCGACGGCGTCAGACGGGCCAGGAGCCCACCAAGATGGCCGAAGTTGGCTCGAAGCTGGCCCAAGACGGCCCAAGAGGCCTCCAAGAGGGCATCCCGGAAGGCCAGACAAGGCAAAAAACATTGATGTTCCTTTGGTTGTTGAAGGATTTTGTCATGTGCTTTTTTTCGGCCATCCGAAGGCCCAATACGGCCCAAGAGCCCCAAAAGATCGCCCCAAAATCATCCAAGAGGCCTCCAAGATGGCCCCAAGAGGCCTTCAAGACGGCCCAGGAGGCTTTTAAGACGCCCAAGATGGCCTCTAAGACGGCCCTGGAGAATTCGAAGAGGGCCCAAGTCGGCCCAGAGGGGCCCCCCAAACGGTTTCCGACGGCGTCGGACGGGCCAGGAGCCCACCAAAACTGCCGAAGATGGCCCTAAGATGGCCCAAGACGGCCCAAGAGGCTTCCAAGAGGGCCTCCAGGAAGGCCAGACAAGGCCAAAAACATTGATTCCCCATGAGTTGTTGAAGGATTGTGATATTTGCTGTTTTTCGGTCTTCCGACGGCCCGAGACGGCCCAAGTGACCCCTAAGATCGCCCAAGAGGCCCAAGACAGCCCCAAGAGGCCCTCAAGACGGCCCAAGAGGCCTCCAAGACGCTCAAGATGGCCTCCAAGACGGCCCAAGAGCCCTCCAAGGCGTCCTCCAAGAAGGCCCGAAAGGGTCAAAATGGCCTCCAGACGGCCAAGATGACCTTCAAGATGCCCACGTGTTCCCCGAAGGCCTTCCAAACCGATTCGGGGAACACATGTTCCGATAGCTTGGCAGGTCTGACCTCAACGTTCGGCCACATAGGCGCTTCCAAAAAGGCACGGGGCGGCGGTGATTCGCCGTACCCGTCTTCGATCCGCCGCCCCCTGTTGATTCATCACAGGGGTGCCTGGCGTGCTAGATAGACCCTCTCGGCTTCGGTTTTGGATCTTTTCCAAAAGACCTCCCCCTGGGGTTTCGGCCCGTCCCGCCGGCCACCCGAAAAGATTGCCCAGGACTCCTCAATCCCCCCAAAAATCATCCAAGACGGCTCAAGATAGCCTCCAAGATGGCCAGGTTGGCCCAAGATGGCCTCCAAGATGGTCCAAGATGGCCTCCAGGTCCGCCAAAGATGGTC